TTCTGATCAAGGTTCAAATGAGGCTATTTTAAAACAGTTTTAGACTAGATGGTCATTTACGAGAGTAAGCAAAAACGCCTGTTTCGTGAAAATCCAACTGGACAAGCCAATTTAGTAATTCACCAATGATCTGAACGAAATTGTAAATGTTCTATTTAATAAACTTTTAAAAATAAGTTCTCACATATGAAAGAAATAGTCTCACCAGAACATGACTTTTTTTTCAACTCTGAATTCATGGCCAATCAATGTCTCTTGAAGGTCACGCAAAAACTATTGGTCCGAAACTGTTTTTATCACCTAAGATATATCGCCAAACTGCAAAGGTTGATGTCAAAACATGAACTTGAAATGGTTGTGCACACCTTTATCTCCTCCTGTAACACATTTTTCACGTGTTTAAACAAAAACGCACTTGACCGCCTTCAGTTGGTCCAGAACTCTGCAGCGAGGCTCCTAACTGGAGCAAACAGAAGAACACACATCACTCTTATTCTAATGCCTCTGCACTGGTTACCCGTTAACTTTAGAGTTCCTTTTAGAATCCTGACTATAACTTTCAATGCACTACATGGTCAAGCTCCTCCCTATATTATTGAACTGTTTAAGCCTTATGCTCCAACCCAAGCCCCCAGGTCCACACACCAGAACCTTCGAGAAGTTTCAAAGACCAGATATAAAAGTCAAGGTGATCGATTTTTCCAGAATGTTGCAACCTGACTGATCTTCCTTTATTCTAACATAGGAATGGCAGTCTGGACACTTTTAAAAAACAGCTAAAGACCCTTTTATTTAAAGCTCTTGTTTTCTTTTTTTAAACTGGAATTTGTAATCTTTTTAAATTTGTCTTACTTTATTTTTTTATGTTAATATATTTCTGTTTTGATTTTATGTTTTGATCTATGTGAAGCACTTTGTGATTCTATGTCTGTAAAGAGTGCTATATAAATAAAATGTACTAAGTTATAAGTTCACTAAATAAAAATGTAATGCCATAAATTTATTGTCTAATAAAAGTTGTATTCTGTTGAGGCTGTATTTCTTCTATACTTACAGGTTACACCAATACCAAACATTGGTTCTGACTGGATGGTCAAATATTCTTTAATAATAATTGTTTTTATTTATTGGTCAAATTTCCCATTTAATGGCTTCATCAGTCGAACTGTTATTCCTAGCCAGCCGAAAATTGGCTTTAAGTTTTAAACCCATTTCTGTTGCCAAAAACATGGAATCAGATATTTGAATGAGTATTAAGAAAATTATAGATTTCCATTTATAAATCTGGATTTGCATAACCTTCTATAATTTTGCTGAGAATTTAGTTGTTTTTAAGAAACTTAATAACCGGTCGAGTCCGGTCAGGATAAATTTGTTTCTGCAAATTGAGGTCAAAGAGCTAATTGTAACAAATATGAGATAAAGTGTTCACAACCTTTTTACATGCATATCGAAATATCTAAACTATGACTTTAAAACCACCCCAGTCGCCAAAATGACAGTGACTCATAGAAATGTTGGCATTTGCTTATCAGTCCTGTGAACAGAGGAAATTCTATAAAAACTTAGGTTTCACGATATTTCTTTACCCTTGATTTGTTCCTGGCAAACAATCCACATTTCATTCTTTACCTTGTTGAGACTTTTTTAGTATTAAACGTAGGCACTATAGCTTGATGATGTGCGTCAGCCTGAAAGTGTACATATTTGTTTGAAGTCATCCCCTAAACACACTTGTACGATTGGCTAATGCCTCATCTTTGGCAAGACTCACTTTATTTATAACTCTCACTGGATCGAGCTCCAGAAGATGAATCAGTTCTTCCCTACTGCATTGTGTGCACTGCCTATTTGCTCAAAATAATGTGTGCATGCAAATATGTGAAGTTACTTTTCCAAGCGGATGGGATTTACTGCTTTTGAATGCCAGATTGTCATCAAACTGAGAGGCTATGAGTGTTCCTGTGGCAGAACTCTTAGATCTGACAGTTATTATACAATAGAATGAAAAGGTATTGACCCCCCTCTTTGGGACTTCTGTTTTGGCATCTCTTTGTAACACTTAAATGTTTAAAATCAGCAAACATAAACACAATGTCAGATAATCGTGTGCAAATTAATTGTTTTCCTAAACTGACTTGGTACTATAATGTGAAAAACGTAACTGGTTTTTCCGTCAGAGCCTTTCTTGGTGACAGCCCCAGTCCCACTACCACATTTGACAGTTGGTATGTTGTATTTTTTTGCTGTTTAAACAGAACAGTTCACACAAAATATTTACCCAAAAGTCTTTGGGATCACCAAGATGTTTAAAAAATCGCCTGTACGGTGCACATTTTCTAGGTTCTTGGGTCTCTATAAAAAACCTTTGGCTATCAAATAAAATGGCCTCAGACGTCTGGTTTCATAAAAATAAGCCATCAGATTTCTAAGTAGCATCTATCTTGATTTTACTGTAGGCCTTTCTTTTATCGAATGTTTTCTAGGTTCACAACTGTCCAAACCAAGTGCTTAACCCTTGGAAATAAACAGGTCTGTTTAAAGCTGCAGTTTTAAATCTGCAAAACAAGTTAGCTTTCACTTATTTGTACATTTGTTCTGTGTTTATCTGCATTATCCATTTTCTTTTTCCACAGTTTAGTAAAATATTGTTTTTTTTTTTTTTTTACCTGACATGTTTTCAGCTAGTATCTCTAGCCATCATCAGAGATCACCGGTGTTTATTATGGACATCGGAAAATTCCATGATACAAAAAATGTCAGTTATCAGAAAATTATACCACAGAGCAAATATAACAACAAAAGAAGAAGATCTCAAACTAGAGGACCAACACATACAAAGTGCAATAAAAACCTGCGGATACCCAACATTGGCAATACAAAAAAGAAATCTATAAACTATAGGAAAGAAAAATGAACCAACAAGACAAACCAGAAACACAAAAACCAGAACCAAAACCAGTAATAACCCTTCCATATATCAAAAGCATAACAGAAAAAATAAATACAACGATGAAAAAACACAATATAAACACAACAAAACCATGACAGTCAAAAAAAGGTTAGTACACCCAAAGGGCAAGATATCAGCAGATAAAAAATGTGGAATCATTTTAAAAAAAGCATGCAAACTCTGCAATAAAACACACATAGGAGAAACCGGACACCAACTCAACACACGAAAAATAGAACATCAAACAGAGTGCGATAGGGAAACAAGTCGAAGACACAGAAGAACAGCAAAACAAGAAGCAGAAAGTACAGTACAGAAATCAGCTGTGACAGACCACTGCACAAGGGAAAATCAGATAATGGACTGGGACGGTACACGGATAATAAACACAGAACAATGAAAATACAAAAAATGGATCAAGAAAGCGATAGAAATGAGGAGACGTGGACACAAACTCGTGAACAGAGATGATGGCGTAATCACATTGGACCACGCATCGGACAGTGCAATCAGCAAGGAGGACGTGGGCAGTAGAGGGCGACATTGTCCTCTGCTGCCTGCAGATAAAAGGATGTTACGCCACCAACACCGGCGATCTCTGATGATGGCTAGAGATACTAGCTGAAACATATCAGGTAAACAATTTTTTACTAAACTGTAAAAAAAAAGGACAAGAAAAAGTTAGTTTTTTAACGCAAACACGGTCACGGAACACTCACCCCTCCTGTCAGCGATCATCCCTAGGCCACGTTCGCCTGATATCAGAATGCCCATTTCCACAGTAAACGAGAGAGCGCTAAACACATCTCACCATTTTCTAGGTCTAAATTTCATTTTTTTTCCCGTGACTTCTAATTGTGTTTTTCTTTTTAGAATTCTGATAGTTTGTCCTAAAGTCAAAGTGTTAGCACCTTTTTATCACCACAATATAACTGCAACTTTAGAACATTATTGAGACATAAACATGTTTTAAGCTAGCTTGTTTTGCAGATTTGAAAATCTAGCTTTCAGTGAACAAAACGTCTTTTGGTTTTTGCATTTCTTAAGAAAAACTTGTAATGATTTTTGAGATCTTTTAGCCAACTTTAGCAAGTTCTACTGATTGACTTAAAGGTGGAATATAGAACATTTTAATAAAAAGTTATATTTTTAAACAATACCTCCATGGGGCGTAGAGGTATGCAGAATGATTTTACAGTTTTTACTTTAAAAGCCATATTTCAAAAAATAATCCAATTTTAATTTTGTCTGGCACGACACTGGGTTTATGTTTACATCTAACAGCCACTAGAGGACACTGTTGTGCTAAAAAGTCAGCTCAGCAAGGCGAGGCCCATGACTGTGTAAAATGGCGAATTCAACAAGTAAAGCAGCTAATTTTGAGCCCAGATGTTCTAACAGAAAATACTGTTGTAAAATATACTTATTTTTAGTAAAAATTAGTCCTTACTCTGTACGATTTGTCACTGCACATGGTGCTAGCTGGTCACTTAATGTATTAGCAGTGAACCAACCAGTGATGGCTGGGAAATGTTTACTGTTGTTGCAGCTACTACCTCTAAACTCTAGATGTCGCCGGAGTGTCCGTGTTCCATATTCAACCTTTAACGTAACATTAATGTTATTTTTTACATAGGTCTATGTTAGTTTTAACAGTGTTTCCCCCTCGTATTAAATTATCATTGTACTTACTCACTCAGGGTGTCTTCGTCTGATAATGAAAGTTGTTATCCTCTTTCCCAGCACTACAGGAAAATAATGAATTAAAGCGCAGAGATTTTGCCTCAAAAAGCTTGGGCGGAGAAGACCCTGAAGCTACCATTGTGTGATTAAGGACCAAGTTTGGGCCATTAGTGGGGGGGCAAATTATTCACCCCAGCATGAAGGGAACTGAAAAAAATGTTCTATACTTTAGTAACTGTGGAGGACAGAAAACATGGGGTAAGAAAATGTGTTTTTGTAGTTTCAAGGTACCTGGTGTGTTAATTAGTGGAGAAGGGGCACGGCACTGAGAAGCAGCAGGTTGAAATTAGTTTCCAAACTCACATCGTATTGCAACTCTTTATTTCCTGTTTCAGTTACAACTTCTGTTTTAGATTCTGTACAGCACTGAAGGCACACAAAACCCAAATATATAATATATACAAAATATACAGAATAAATAATTCACTCTTTTAAGTAGAAAAGCTACAGGGTGTGTGTGTGCTTACATGAACTCTACATGAACGATGTCGGTTTTCAGCCGTCTGATGCTTTTAAAGCAGAGAGGCGTCGTTCGGTTTCAGATGGTAGAAAACCGGAGCTTTTGGGGGGGCGGGGATCGTTGGGGTCGTGTTCCTGAATCCGAATTCTGACATAAAAATAACGGACACAAACTTAGACTAAACCATACAGTGGCTCATTCCTTCAAGCAAAAATAAGAACATTTCAGCAGGACTCTGTTGATTGTCATGCACCATCTTATGGCATCTCCGTAGTGCAATGTCGTATATATGTTGCACTCCAAGTGCTCGGCTTTCTGACTGAAACAAAAGAGAAGATACATCTTTCATGTGAATATAAGCAGCTTGTATAAAAATAAAATCCTCTGACTGCAGCTCTGCAATGTGTTGGATCAATCATCCGTCAGGAACCACACTCCCATGTACAGTTTGCTGACTCTACGGCACGACGAGCATCCTGGCTCCGGAGCCGAAGCCGCTCCCGGGGTTGACGGGGGGTGTAATCAGGTCAGGGCCGGAATCAGGATCGACTGATTAAGCACAATTCTGGGTCAAGCTCCGATTGAAATTCACTCAATTCTCTCCGAACATCTGCTTTATCCTGCGAGTGAGTCGGGAGAGGGTGGAGGGGAGGGGTGGATCAATTCGCTTGGTTGCCGTAACACCATGAAAATTTAATCACATGTAAAAAGCTGATTGAGTGGATTTCACAGTGGGTTTCGACCCGATCCTCCTCCACAGACGGCTTCCTTTGACCTGCGTTTGGCTAGAATGATGACACCTTTCACCGGCTACAAGAAAAGTAACATTCTGTGCTACGATTTAAAAGGTGTGCCCATGATAGATCTATTTATATATTTATACAATTCACACTGTGGAAAGTACAAGAGGGGCAACTCAACAAGGCACTTGAACATGATGAATGTCTTTCCTGCTTCACTTAAATGCAGTTTGGTGTTCCAGAACCTCCAAGTAGTCCGGTTCAGTGTGGAGGTTCGCTTTCAGCTCAAAGTACTCATTCTTAGTTTGCTCTACCATGACCTTGCGAGGTCTTGTGTACATTATTGTCTCCATGAGCTTGAGCTCCTCCTGGTGCCCGGGGACCTGCATGTCCACGGCAGACTGGAGCTGGGGCAGGTTTTTCCTGAAGTACTCTGTAATTCCGAGCTGCTGCTGCAGGTCCTTTTCCCTCTCCAGAATGTTCCGGTACAGGGAGCTGGGCGTCCCAAGAGTGACAAACTCAGCGGAGCAGTCTTCAACTCTGAACTTTGAGCTCCCCGTGAGGGGGGAGGTGTTCTCCTTCTCCATCAGGCTTCGGCAGAGGTGATGCTTGGTGCTGGTGTCCTCCAGGCTGTAATCCAGGTTGGCGTTGTGCCCCTTGTGTTGGGCGCAGTAGGTGGGGTTGCGGCAGATCTGCACGATGGGGCTGTGGGACCTATCGTCGTAGAGGGTGGCGGAGCCGGTTCTCTGCGACACGGTGTGGTGAGTTGTCTTCTGCCCATACATGCTGTAATGGAGGTGGATGGGGGAACTGCTGTTGTTCTCCCGTGGCGGTTCCTCAGCTGCTTTCTTCTTTGCCCTGCGTCGCCGCCGGTGCACCACGAACACCACCAATCCGGCAGAGCAGAATATAATCATGAGCATGATGATGAGGAGGCTCAGTATGAGCACAGAGAGCGGGATCTTTTCAGTGATTAGGGGGAGAATACCACCCCCGCCGGGTTCTCGTGTGGGATCCGCACCAGCCGAAGGCACAGGATGGTAGGTCCCTAAACCGGGACAAAGCGTCTCATGATGAAGACTTCTCAACTCGAGCTGCATAACTTTCTTTGGAGTGTGACACAAAATGCGTCCCAACACTGTATCCTTCCTCAGCTTCTCCACCCATTGTTTGAGGCTGAGCAAATCACAGCTGCAGTCCCAGGGGTTGTCCTCTAAATAAATCTGCTCCAGTGAGTCAAGCTGATCCAGCACGTTGCTCACCGGCAGGTGCATGAGCAGGTTTTTTCCCAGGTTTAATTTGGAGAGGGGCACGTTGCGGAATATCTGAGCTGGGAGAGAGCTCAGCAGGTTGTTATTTAATGACAACAGCTTCAGGTTTGGCAGGGGGTTCAACGTGCCTGGGGAAATTTCTTTGATAATGTTATATTCCAGGTACAGGTATTCTAGGTTGTGAAGTCCCATGAACATGGTGGAGAACAGCTTCTCGATTCGGTTTCCATTCAGATATAGCTTTTTTAAACTGCTCAGGCTCAGGAACGTCTCGTTGTCGATGTAGTCAATTCTGTTGTTGGCCAAGTTGAGCAGCTCCAAGCTGTCGTACGTGACAAAGTCATATTTCAAGAGTTTCTGAATCATATTTCCTGTCATGACCAGTTTAGTGGGACTTTGTTGGAGTATTCCGATATCGGACACCTTCTGGATTCCCCGGTCCTGACAGTGCATCAGAAACCCCGCCACAGGGTGGTTGTGACAGGAACAGTGCTCCGTACAAGGACTGCTGGGGTGGTGAGATGGTGTTGACACCCCTGCGTCACTGTTGGTCAATTTGGGAATTTGAGTAACGACCATGTCCAGGGACTTGTAAGAATCCCCCAGGTTGATTTCTGTATGTGACGGACACAGAACGTCCCGCTTTACTTTGGCCAGAATGGTTCCTTTGAGGTGCTGAGGTGAGCTGCAGACCACATCCCCGATGACAGACTGCGCCCTCATGTTCTCCATCCAAATTTTCAAATGAAGGATTTCACAGTCACACGTCCAGTTGTTGTCCTCCAGGAGAAGCTCCATTATTCGTCCTATGTGCTCCAAAAACCCCACATATCGTAGGCTCTTGAGCTTGTTGCCTCTCAGGTCCAGGTGTGTGAGGGGCACGAAGCGGAAGATGTTGTCGGGTAAAAACTCGATGGAATTGTCGTTGAGGATCAGGACTTTGAGGCGGATCAGTTTGTTGAAGGCCCCAGGCTCGATGACCCGAATGAAATTGGTGTCAGCCTGGAGAAACTCTAAATTCACCAGGCCTTGGAAAGTGTCCTCTTTCAGTGTTACAAGAAAGTTACTATTTATGTGGAGCTTTTTCAATGAACCAAGGGTGCTAAAGACCCCCGGTTCCAGCTCTTGTATGCTATTACCCCCAATGTGCAGCGAAAGGGCGCCCTTAAGCCCCTCCATTTCCTCGGCACGCAGCTCAACCAAGTCGTTCTTGTAAAGGTTCAGATGAAAGGGGACACCTGACGGGATTTCGATTTGGGAGATTTTGCTGATGTTCCTCTGCTCACAGTTGAGATGAAGGATGCCATCTTTCGCCTCGCAGGAGCACAGGGAGTCACAGGACTCGCTGATAGAGGATGATGGCTTTAAGGGATAGATATCTTGGGATCGAGCTGCGGTGAGGAACAAGCCGAGGAAAATGATACAGGGCTGCATTTCAGTCTGAGATATCTGTGAAGACAAAGGGAAAAGAGGGAGGGGGGGAGAAGAGCAAAAAAAGAACGTTGAGTATTTCAGAACACGTGAAAAACAAGGGATCACTTGGTGTCAGTGGTCCTTAGTTTAGTTTATTCAAAAGCATTGTAATGAACAATGCAACTGTTGATCTACCGATGATTTTGCAAATCCAGTGTTTGGGCTTTTAAAATAAAGTAATAGAGTAAAGTCATCCCGCACCAACCTAAAATTGAAAATAATGTCCAGTTACAGCTTATCCATGCTGTCGTGCATCACATTAGCTTTGGGTTCACTTCAGAATTTAAAAACATCTGTTAATATGTGTACAACTGTTGCTTTCAGGACCTCTAAATGAAAAAAAAAACTGGTCTAAATGACATTTAGTCCTTTCAAGTCTCCTTTAAGTGCCCCCCTTGTGACCCTTTACTGCCGACCTTTAAAATCATTCTACTTTATACATCTGGAAAAAGGCCATTGAGGCATTTTGAATGTTCATTTCGTAAAAGTGCATAAAATCACAGATTATCCTGAATTTCTGTGATTTTCTCAGCTTGTTCATAGCTTATCCAAGGTTTGAAGAAGACTGATAAATGATGGCATTCAGTCACAACAAGCCAAGGATCGCCAGCCTAGAAATCTAGACAAGGAAAAAGAATTTGCTCCACAGGGTGGTCTACCACACACCAATGTAGCCTCAGAAGGGCTAATTTTAGGCTAGGCCGATGATAACATTCTATGTAGAGAGGTTGGCCAATTAGCGCCATTGTGAACAACAAAGATGGTGTCAGCTCCGTACCAGTGCTCGTTTATAATGGATTTGGCATCATCTTTGGAAAATTTAGACTTGAGCTTATCTTTGAGACATAAGACAGAGGTACTTCTAGGTCTTCGTAATGTACGGCGGATTGCCCCACTGCCTGATTCCACGTGCTATGAATAAGTCAGGTTGTTCGACGCTCTGATTTGATCCAAATGAATGCGGAAACCATTTGAAAGACAACCGTAGATAGCCTGTCTTGCCAGGCTAAAAGATTGCTGCAATTCTTAAACATTTTAAGATTTCAGAGTGAGAAGTCATATTGCTACTCAACTTTTGTTCCCAATAATAGACTACGCTGATAGTGTTTATCAAAATGCCATTGCTTCCTGTCTTCAACATCTTGACATTGTTTATAAGAGCATTTGCCGTTTTGTTTTATGTTGTCCATTTAATACACAACATTGTTTCATGCATCAAAGTTGGTCTTGGCTTCCTCTAAAAGCCAAAACGTGGGTTTCACTGGATTTGGTTTATTTTCAAATGTATCTTTTTTGATTTCCTGGGATATTTAAAGATCTATCTTGTTCCTTTAGAATGTCAGTATAGTATCAGATCGAATGATCAACTCACGTTTGTTGTACCTTTAAAAAAAAACAATCAGGAAGAACTGCTTTTTGTGTCAAAGCCCCAGTGGATTGTAATAGACTCCTTTTGGAGACACGATTGATTACTTCTTTTCGACAATTCAAAAATTCTCTCTATTCACATACTGCATCTTCTTGCATCTGTACTTGTTTTTGAGTTTCATTTGATGTCATATGATCATGTTATCAAAGCGAAGTGGTTTTTTTTATTTTTCGTTTAATTTATTAGGTCGTTTGTATTTGTTAGTTTCGGCTTATGCCACTAGTAATCTTGCTATCTCTTATTGTTTCGGTGTTTCAAAGGAGGACTCCCTTGAAAATGAGATGATGCATCTCAAGGGGTTTCATCTTCTAGAAATTTAAGTAAATACATAAATAAATACTAGTTCCAGGGTATCTGCAGGTTTAAGGGAGCCAAATTTAAGACTTTTTAAGACCTTTTTAAAGGCCACTTTGACCAAATTTATGCTATTTTTTTAATTAAATTTAAGCTATAATTTCCAGCTATTGCCTGGAACCGGTGCTAACCACGTCGCAAACGTGGGATTACCCACCCAGTTACCATTAAACCATGGCGCAAGCTCCCACTAGCTTAACCAGCTAATGTGCTCATCTAAAAATAGCCCTCTTTCACAACCAACTGAATGTGTACGGTTCCGCTTACGCCAACATCACACACAAAAAATGCTGAAGACTAACTAGAAATTCTTGTTCATTGGGTTTTTGGTAATTTTAAGACCTTTGGAAACTGTATTTAAGGATTATTTGTCATTTTTAAGGATTTTTAAGGCCTTAAATTTAGAAAAGCAAATTGAAGACTTTTTAAGGACCCGCAGATACCCTGTATTTCATCTTAGTCGAAGGCATTTGTGTCATCCACAATTATAAGAAAATGCATGGAAAATATAGAATAGTGACATGTTTTTAACATACCATACATCCTGTAGAAAGTAATTCTAAAAAAGACCTGATGTTACATCAGTTTGATGTGTCCAAAACGCTTGTTTGTGATTTCCTTCAGGTTGGGAGCTCTTATTTTAAGCTTCTATAGACATTCTGGAGGAGCTTTACTTTCTCGCCATGTGAGAGATGAGTGTGAGACTGTATCTTCCCTCTGACTCACACTTGGATGGTGCTACATTTAAAAAATGACTCTCATTTGACTGATTTCTCTGCCCTTTATATGTGCTGACTCATCTGACTTATGACCTTCTCGGAGTGAGTCACGCAATGTAAAAAGTCACTTCAGCTGATGTCAAAGAAACATTTAAAACAGCTATTTCTTGTGACTGATGAGGGATTTCGGAGGTGACCCACAATCCTGGTCGTGGTCAGTCTGGTTTGTGTAGAACCCACAGAATCCACACACTCTCTGGAGTAGCTGACTGAGTCAGGAAAAATCAAGAGTCATTCTAATGAGACGCACCACAATAAACTAAGTTGACAAACATCCAAATGGATCAATGGCTACATTGCCATTAGGGATTGGTGGAGAGAGGTAGGCATCAAGTGTCATCTGACTCACTGGTAACTAACAGAACTCTTCAAAGGGGTAAAATGTCGAAAGATGACGGCTCGTTGCGTTGACGAATGTGATTAGCTCCTGGAAGGTTTGGTTCTAGCAGGACCGGGCAAGCCCGGTTCAGGTGATACAACCTGGGTTTGCCAGAGAAGGAATCCTCTGACTCATGATCAGCCAGTGATCCTCTGTAACTTTCTTTAGAATTGAGTTTAAGGAAAAAAAATCTACCTCCCAGCTGAAAGTCAAACAGGCGTGGGCGAACTTTGCCTTTGGCCTACACAAGGTAGTGGTAACACATGTTTGGTTATAGGGTAGAAGGTAAATACAAGCAAACATGCTCACAGATTAGGGCTGAATGTCAACTACTCTGCCAATGTGAAGTGCATTCCTGTGTAAAAGCTATGAATAATTAATACCTTATACAACGCAGAAGGTTTCCTGAATAGCCTCATGGGGGAAATTGCTTTTACATCCTACAGGACTGGTAAGCCAACAACTAAAACTAAAGATTATTTCTACCATTTAATTTTAAAAGTCTAATAGGTGAATGTTGACAATTCTGATGGACTTGGGGATATTTGTTTGGCCATGTTGTTGTTTTTGTTCTTAAAGCTTCTTTCCGGAGTATTTCTCTTATCCAGTGGCACCACTGACAAGCATATCACACAAAACCACTGTTCCTCTGTTTTAAGATGGCGACTTCACATTTCTGTTTATAAATGTGCTTCTGTAGCCGACAAACAGAGCTAAAACACATTGTTTTACGAGTATTACTCTCATGCCATGCTGTGTTTTCATATATTTATATTTTAGAGACTTCCTTGTCCGTGAAAAGTTCATCAACTCTGCATCAGCCGAGGTATTCCTTAAATGTGAAGCGTATAAGCGGTAGTCTAATGCTATTGGTTAGTTATGGTCGGCGCTCAATTTCCTATTGCACGGAGCTCTGCCGGGCAGGGGGCGTGCTTAGCAAAAAAAAAAAGACGTATTTCTTATATTAGATCAGAGTACATGATATGATAATCACTTTTACGGATTTCTGACAAATCATACATAATTTCTGAAAGAGGAAAACTCCTGAAAGCAGCTTTAAGACATTTGGAGATCGTAAAAATACATTTTAGACTTGGCTACATTTGAAGAGTACCATGGCTCATCATGACAATTGGATGTAAACTAGTTTGTATGTCAAATCAATATTATCTTGTTCTCACACTATCAGTAGACACTAAATCAATTAGCAAAGAACTGCAATGAAAGAAACTCAAACTACAAGTTTATTATGTATCTGACAAAGAAATGGACTCGTCTCCCTGTTTTGCGATAAATATACCGTATTGTCTCCCTATATTACGATAAATATATGGTATTGTCTTCTTGTATTACGAAAAATATATGATCTCCCTGTATTGTGTTAAATATATCGTATCGTCTCCCTGTACTGTGATAAATATATCTTATCATGTCCCTGTATTGTGATAAATATATCGTATCGTCTCCCTGTACTGTGATAAATATATCTTATCATGTCCCTGTATTGCAATAAATCAACCGTATCGTCTCCCTTTATTGCGATAAATATATCGCATTGTCTACCTGTTTTGCGATAAATCAACCGTATCGTCTCCCTTTATTGCGATGAATATATTGTATGCTCAGTTTCTTGCCTGTACACACTCCCACTAGCTATCCATGTTATGGATCAGTACTCTCCAACCCTGGTTTTGAGATCTCCTTTCCAGTATGTTTTAGTTGTTTTGAATCAGTTAATTAACCGGCCTTTATAGACAGGGTTTCCCCCAGCGCTTTACAAGCCTGGTGGGCCGCCAGGCTTTGCTTGCCCACCCGCCAGGCTAAGCGTCATGCCCCGCCCCCTCCACCAACCCTACCGTGTCCGCTGACACAAACGGCGCAACGAAACTGGAGCCCTCCATCAGCTGATACTGGTGAGAAGCAGCAGCAGAACGTGTGCAGCAACACGCCCCCCCCCCCCCCCCCCCCACACACACACACACACACACACACACACAGAGGAGTGCTGCGGTAGAAATTGAACCACTGATCATAC